GTAGGACAAGCTGCAGTGACAACAGGCAGGGTGCTTTGGGGTCATTTATGCTTTATTTAGGTCTTTCTGTTCTTGGGCTTGGGATGCCTTCGAGGTTCAGGGTCTGTTGGAGGGACCCCTTCACCTCTCCCTCCCCCCCTGCACAGTGGGGGATTGTCCCCTCTGTCCCCGGGAAGCCGGGGTTGAATGGGCTTTATCACTTGTGAAAAGTAACAAGTCGCCGAGGTGGGAAGCTGCAGCCGAGGGGAACAAAGGGCAGCTCTGCCCCCACGTCCCTCATTTACAATTCCAATGGGCCGTGAAAGCACCCGACCGGGATGAACTTTGGAGCTAGGCTGTCCCAGCATCTTGCTCCTCCAGTCCCTCCCAAGCAGGAGGGCTCGAGCGTTTCTTGCCTGATGACCCTTTAAGGAGAACACATGTTGCTCCTGGTGCTGAAGTGAGGCAGAAACAAACCCCTGTCCCATTTTGGGTGACCAGGCACATGAATGTGGAGGGAATTCTGCTCCTCTCCATCCGATGGTGTTGGAAGAGCACTTAAATCACAAAGTCCCTTCTGGAGGTCGCAGAGTGGCTTTGCAGTGCAAACTTTGGGACAGCAGCAGGGAGATTATCCAGGGGGGCTCTGGGGGCTTCCAGAAAGGGTCGACTGGAGCTTCCCAGCTGACGGGGATTTGTTCTTTCTTTGCCACATCTGTTTTGAGCAGAAGGAGAGGAGATCGACGTGGTGACGGTGGATAAGAGACAATCGCTCGGCCTGAGGAAGCCGGTGACCATCACCCTGCGCGCAGACCCCCTGGACCCCTGCATGAAGCGCTTCCACATCTCCGTCCACCAGCAGCAGCACAACTACGCCGCCCGCTCGCCGCCGGACTCCTGTCCCCCACCGGAGTCACCCCAGCAGGACCAGGACCGGGATGAGGACGAGCCACCCAGCGCCCCGGAGCCAGTCCCTGCCGTCACGCCGCCTGAGCCCGGCTTGCCAAAGCTCGGCAGCAGCCCCGGCTCCGACAGCGAGGACGTGGCCAAGAGGAAAAACCACAACTACCTGGAGCGCAAGCGGCGCAACGACCTGCGCTCGCGGTTCCTGGCCCTGCGGGACCAGGTGCCCGGGCTCGCCAGCTGCCCCAAGACGCCCAAGGTGGTGATCCTGAGCAAGTCCTCCGAGTACCTGCAGTCGCTCATCAGTGCCGAGAGGCGGATGGCGGCCGAGAAGCGGCAGCTGCAGCAGCGCCAGACCCAGCTGCTCAAACGGATTGCTCACCTCAAGGGGCAATAGTGCCCAGGGTACCCCCCGCCCCAGTCCCCACAACCCCCCCTGGCTCCCTCTCAATTTGCACATTTTTTTTTTTTTTTTTATTTTTTGGTTGTTTGTTGAACTGTTGGCCCCGGGGGGCTGGAGCACGTGGTGGTTGCTGCACGTGGGGTGGCCGTGGTGCTGCTCCCAGATGAGGGAATGGGACCACGGTGGAGACCCTCCCATGGCATCACCTGCCTGGGGCTGGTTTCTCTGCCCCTGCTGTGAAGCTTTGTCAAGTGACTTTTTTGATTCAAGAGCTCAAATCTATTCCCCCTCCCCAGCAGCCCCTGCATCCTTCTCTGCTGTTTTCCACCAACAGCATCACTGGGAGCTGCCCCTGAGCATCCATCTCGCCCTAAAATTCCCAAGCAACCACGATCTGCCTCGGCTCTTGGAAGCAGGCAGGCACAGAGCCCAGCACGGGCCTCGTCTCTGGACGGATCCCATGGAGATGGTGAGGGCAGGACGTGTCTCTCACCAGGGTGAGCAGCACCCCGTGGGCGATCCCCTTGCTCGGCTGGACCGTACCTCACTTGCTGATCACTTCACGCAGTAGCTCGTCTTGGATTTTATGTTCTAGAAACTGCTGCTGTAACTGCGAGTCTTATACTGGAGGCTGTGTTTTTATACTGTATTTTTGTACCACTTTTTGAGAAGTATTGGTAAAGAGTTTGCTTTTTTTATATATATATAAAAACTTTTTTTTTTTAAGTGGGGGGGGTGTTTCCTGCTGAGGGGAATGGCTCAGTCCTGCTGCACTTTAGGGAGATCAGGAAGGGGCTGGCTCCTGCTGGACCCTCGAGCTGAGTCCTCGCAGAGGCCATTTACCCCCTTGCAGCTCTCCAACCCACCCATTTGCAATAACAGGGGATTTTATCCCTTTCCCCTCGTTGTGAGTATCCTTGTGACCCCTATTCCCACCTTTGTGAGCACCCCCTCACCAGCAGCCACTTAAAATCCCCAGCAAAGCTTTTGGGCTTTGCAGGGTGCAGGTTGTGTGTGTGGGGCTGCTGTACCTTTGAGGCTTCCCCCTGCCTGTGCCCTCCTGCTGCCCAACCTGCGGTGGGGTACGTGGGTGGCAGAGTCCCCTGTCCCTTCCCAGGGGTGCTGGCAGGGGTGGTCCTGCAGGACCAGCACCCTCGGGCCCCCACTGACCTGCTGAGAACTGTTAGAGTTAACACTGTGGTCGGATTTAGCACTTTCTTCATTACCTCACACTTCATAAATAAATAAGTTTGCAACAGCCTGGGTTGGCTTTTTCCATGCTGTGGGTTTCCATGCATCACATCACGAGGCTCCTTGTGGGGGGAGGCTGACCTGGCCCCTGTGTTTTGGGGTATCCTGGGCATGAATGGGAGTTCATATATTTTGCCCCAGGGCTTGGCTGCACCAAGACTGAGCTCTTTGTCCTGGTTTTCTCCCAGCAATTGAAGAAGTGTTCGTGGTGGTGGGGCCAGGGAAATGAATCACCTGGATTGTTTTTCCTCCTTTTAAGTGGTTTTATTGGCAAGGAGGGGCAGGGAGAGCCCAGACTGGGCTCCGAGGAGGCTTTGGTGTAACTATAAACCCCCCTAATGGGGCTCAGGGCAGGCAGTGTGGGGTGATCGCTGCCCCACAGGTCAGGGGCTGTGGCTGGCAGTAACCCTATAGGGAGGGGAGAATGCAATCTCCTCGCTTCCAGGGGCATTGGAGAACTCCCTATCCCAGATCTGCCAAGTGGATGAAATTATATATATGTGTATCCTCCATGCCGCCCCCAAACTCAATGCATTTGGGTTTCCTTTGTCCTGGCAGCAAAAGTCTTGCTCTAAATGCAGGAGGGACATGGGATCCTGTTACTGCTGAGGAGTCAGGAGAGAGGAGCTGCTGCTGGAGACTCGATCACCCCGGGGGGAAACCAGCCTTAAACAGCAATGATTCCACACAGAAGCCCTTCAACACCCGTCCCCTTTGGTCCCAGCAACATTTCTCACTCTGTGTGTTGCATCACACCGTGTCACAGCCGTTCAGAGCTGCATTAGAAGGTGCTCTCGTGACCCACAGCTTAACCAGGGAGCAGGGTGACCTAAATCTGACACCTCGCCCATGCGCAGGAAACAAAGCCCAGATGTAGCAGCCCCTCGAACGGTTATTTTTGTTGCGTGTACACTCACACTTGCAGCCTGGCATCTTTTTTCAGCTCAAGGTGACCCTCCCGAGAAGGTTTTTCAGTAAGTTGAGGTTTTTGTTTTCGTGCTGAAGGCACATCAGAGGTTTGAAACATTAATTATCTTTCTTGGAAGGGATGAGCAAATGCATGGTCTGAGCTGAGACTGTTACCAGTGGGAAATGTAGTTGATCTGGAATGAAATAAGGAACAGCTCCAGTTTTGCATGTACCTTTGAGTTCTTCTGCTTAAAGCTGCATACATAAGTACACATCTACCTGAAACTCCCCTGGTTACTGGAGCACGTGTCTCCTCTCCTATCACCACAGTCAGGGTGAGGAAAGGAGACTGACAGCGCTGTGAAGTGAACAAAATAAACACACAGGGCTTTCCTCCTTGCTTCTTCAGCACTGCAGTTTGTGAGTGTCAGCTGTAATCACCCCAGTTCGGCATTTCCAGGCTGAATTCGTTATTTTTCGTTGCACACCGCCCTGCTCACACCCTGCTCCTTGCTGTACCCCCCAAACCACCTCTGCTTGCCCACCACATCAGCGCCGGCCCGGGGGGTGTTGTGGGCACGATGCCGCCTTCATGCCTGGGCTGGCAAATTTTTAGGACAGTTTCCCGAGGCGGTGATAATCCCTTCCCTGCCGAGGGGGGCTGGCTGCCCGCATCCCCCCTGCCCCCCCATGCCCGGCCCGCAGCCTCCCTCTCGCTGTTGCCATGGCGAGGGATGTGTGTTGCCGGGGAAAGCGGCACCCAGGAGGTGCCATGGCAACCGCCTCCCCGTTTGCCTCCCCTCTGTTGCCACGGAGACAGCCGCCCGCTCCCCATCCCCTCCAGTTGCCGTGGCGATGGGGAGGACGAGCCTCCGCCGAGCCTGCGGTTGCCACGGCAACGTGCTCTTCTCCCCTCCCCATGGCAACAGCCCCGCATCATCCTACTCTGCCCCGTTGCTATGGCAACAGCCCCCATCCCGCTCCTCATCCTCCCGCACCGTTGCCGCGGCAACAGCATCCTTCCTACCCCGATATACTCCCCGTAAAAAAAAAGGGACCGCAGGGCTGAGCCCCACGCGTGGACGTGGCTGTGAGGGGCCCCGAGGGATTTTGAGGGGGAAGAGGGGAGCGAAGGCCCCCAAAAGGAGCCAGGGGCGTGGGGATGGGTTTGGCGACCCGGGATGCGGGAAGGGGAACCGGGCTGGCTCTGGGGACCCGGGGCTCGGGGAGGGAGGGACCCAGGGTCACGGGGAGAGACCGAGGAACACGAGGAAGGACTGGGCTGGGTCTGGGGACCCGGGGCGAGACCAGGGCACACGGGAAAGGAGCGGGCTGGCAGCGGGGACCCGAGACACGTGGAGGAACCCGGGGTCACGGGGAGGGGGCTCGGGACACGTGGAGACCCCCGGGGGCACGGGGAGGGACGGCGCTGGGCTCCGGAACGCCGGCGGGCAGGGGCACACGGTGCTCGGGGCCCGGCCCCGTCCTCCCCGCGGGCGGCCCCGGCCCCGGGCCCGGCCCGCCCCCGTCCCGCCCGCCCGTCCCCGGCCGGGCCATGGCGGCGGCGGCCGCGCTGTGCCTGGGCCGGGCCCCGCGGCCGCCGCTGCCGCTCGTGGTGATCCTGGGAGCCACCGGCACCGGGAAGTCGGCGCTGGCGCTGCAGCTCGGGCTGCGCCTCGGCGGGGAGATCGTCAGCGCCGACTCCATGCAGGTACGGCCCGGAACGGGCACCGGGCAGGCCTCGGGCCGGGCCCGCGGCGTGGGGAGGCGGCCGGGACTGCACCGGGGAGGGTCCGGGCTGGGCCTGGAGGGGCGGCAGGGCTCGGGCGGGGCACGGAGAGGCTCAGCCCCGTGGGTGCTGCGGGCTGGTGGCCCCCGGGAACCCCCTGGGCCCTGTGTCCGGGTGCCCGCCGGGAACAGCCCGGCGAACGGATCCTGCTCGCTGGGAGCGCTCCCGGTGCTCCCCCCGGTGCCCCTGTGCATGTCCCGCTGCCCCAGTGCCAGCCCCAGTGACCCTGTCCCGGTGCCCCTGCCCTGGTGACCCTCTCCAGGTCCCGGTGCCCCTGCCCCGGTGACCCTCTCCAGGTCCCAGTGCCCCTGTCCCAGTCCCAGTGTCCCAGTCCCGGTGTCCCTGTCCCGGTGGGCAGTTTGTTCGGTGTGAGCAGGGCAGTGTTTGTTCAAGCCCCATCTTCCCCCCCCCATCCCAAATAAATTCACCTTTTGAAAGGAAACCAAAGCAAAGGCGATTTAATTTTAGCCCACCCAAAGCTACGTGGAGGTGTAAGGGGTTAACTGAGGGGAGGCAGCAGCTGGAGTTACCTAGTAATAAGTGACACCCAGGGTAGTATCCTCCTCACCAGCAAAGAGACACCAAGAGATATGGGAAGGAGTATTAAAAATTATATTTGCTACTTGCCAGTGACAGTCTCTGTGGTCTCATTTCTTATTGCAAACAGCAGCATGGAATAAATATACCAGTTGTTTACTTGGGTTCAGTCAACACTGCAGAGCCAAACCTCATTTTTTTGGTCCTAATTGTGTTCAGCTACAAGAGCTTTGTCACAATGTACATTTTGGCCACCACAAGAATAACAATTTTGTTATTGTTTAGCAAAATGTTTTCCTAATCCACACTTTCACTGTCCTCTTCCTATAGCGCCTGAAGTTTCCACCAAGTTTAATGTTTAATGTATTTATTACACTTTCTAAAAAGGTGTTTTCTACCAACAACACCCTTTGTGCTGCTCAGGGACTGATGCCTGCTGTCCTGTGCCCACCTCCTGGTTTCCTGCCCCAGCCTGCCATTGCTGGTCACTGTTTATGTCCTAGAGAGCTGAACTTGAACCCCCCCCTCTCCTGGTTTTGGAGCAAGCAATCAGAAAGTGACTTTATGGAATGTTTTCCTTAAACTCTTGGAGAAGAAGCGTTTGAGGTCTGAGCTGAAGTGACAAAATCCTGCAGGGGCAAAACGTTCACGCAAAGCGCGTAAGCTTTTTCCAGCTTTAATAGCAGGGAAGTGGCTGTTGGCTTGAATGATCCTGTGGACACAGGGCTGCTGCTGCATCCCAGGCTCTGCAGACATGGTTGGAGCCGCCTGGCACGCCGTGAATTCCCGCCCGCGCTGGTGGATGTTTTGGAGCGCGTGTTTTGTGCTCCGGTTGTTTCGGGTCCCACTGTGGGAATGCGGGCGCTGGGAGGGCTCTGCTGCAGGCGCCCAATGGCATCTGGGCTCCGGTGGCTCTTGTCCTCCTTTCCTTTTAATCTCATTCTAGCGTGACTGCGGAGCCAGAGCCGAGCAGCTCCGCTGTTTTATCCCGTAAATGCACCGTGCTGCCGGCGCGGCCCCGAGGGGCGGCGAGGAGGGGGAGCCCGGCGGCCCCAAGGCACGGCCCCGAGGGGCTGCGCCGCCCCCACCACGCTCCACTGACCCCCTGCGCCCCCCAGCCAGGGCTGCTTTCCTGCTGGCTTTGTTCCCCGTGGAATATTGTCTCCCTGTGGCATATTCCCTCCCTCTGCCACGCAGAACTGGCTCCGTGTGGTGTCCTTGTGGAAGAGTTGTGGGGTTTTAAAAACCCCATTGCTCATTCTGGACTGACAGCTGCCAGTGACCGTGTTGCCCTCAGCCCCCGCTGTCCATTCATCCCTGGGCTCCGTGGAGCTCTGACAAATGCTGGCAGTGTTTTGGGCAGCTGCTGGAGCTGGAGCCGGGCTCGGGAAGGGGCCAGGGAGCCCCAAGCCCACCTGTTCTACACACAGGCACCACTCCATCTATCTCCAGGGTGTTTTCGTCATGGCTGTGAGTTGCTGTGGTCAAATTACAGACTTAGCTGCTGCCTGCTTGCAGCTCAGGAGCTCTGGTTAATCTGCTGGCCTCTTAATCTTTCTTTTTGTCCTTTCTGTTGCTATTTGTCATCCCAGTGAGTTTTGTTGAGGAGTAAGTAATTCCTTGGAAAGCCAGGCGGGGTGAAGCCAGTCCTGTTTCTTCATTCCTGGCAGAGTGATGAGCATGCAGCAGTCACAGTGCTCACAGTCCCACTGTCCCTTCTGGATTTCACCCTTGGAAGTGGTGATGCAGTCCTTCTCCAGGGGTTGCTCTAGTACACTGGGTGCATTTGTCAATTAGTGTTTCAAGTCACGACATTTTCAGAGCCTCTGCTGACATCGCTCTCCTGGCAGGGGTCAGAGTGGGGAGGGGTTTGGGTCCTCCATGCCCCTCTCCAGCTGGGAGATCCCTTGGTCCCCGTTGATGCTTTTCCTGGCTGTAGGTGGTTTGGATGTGTCTGGGCCCACTCCTATCCCCTCATATACTGTGGTATAGAAGTACCAGGGGTACCTTTTCCCCCGCGAGCGCCGATGGTGACAGAGGGGCAGAGTTTGGGATTGTGGATGGAACTGGCTGGCAGAACCTGCCCTTCCCAGGCTGTGGATCCTCGAAGCACCACATCCTGGGGGATCTCTGGTGTTTGTGTCTCCTGCCTCAGTGTCCCCATCCTTTCCAGGGGGACGGCGCTGCCCTCCCAGCCCGGGGGCTCAGCGCAGAGGTGGGAGGACGCCGTCAAGGCTAAGCATCTTTAGTCCTGGCCTGCGTTCCATGTCTCGGAGGCCGGCTGCTCCAGGCTGCCACTAATCTGTTTTGGGGCCTTAGAAAGCAACAAAGGCTTATCTGAGCCGCTGGCTGAAAATAGAAATGAGTGTCAGGAGGACGTCTCGGTGCGAGGCCCTGCCGACAGCCAGCTGGTGGAAACCTTCTCCGGGCTTTGCTGGGTGTGTGTAAAAGGCTGCCTTTGTTTCCTGCCAGCCCACACACTGACACCGCATTCCTCCTCTTGTTGCCAGATACTCGGGGGAGGCTCTCGGGGTGTTTAATCTCCCGGAGAACCTGGGGATTGCAGCCCGAACTGCGTATCCTGGATCTGCCCGTGCAGGGCACTGGGAGCTCCTGGCTGACTCCGAGCTTCCCGTCAGCCCCTCTGTATTCGCCGTGATTTCAGGCAGACAGTGGGAGTTGGAGGAACTGGAGGGCTGGAAATGAGGAGAGCAGGCACTGAGCCAAAGCTCACCGAATTCAAAGGCTTTCGGAGCCCCGTGTTGAATGGAGCTGCTGAGCCCAGGGATCAATAGGCTGCCTGCAGCCACGGGGCATGTTGGCAGAGCTGCCTGTGGGCCTCTCCTGCCTGCTCACCATCCCCTGGGGCAGCTGGGTTTCTGCAGGGCAGAAGGGAAGAGCATTTGGTTGCCCGCCCTCTCCCCTGCCCCAGGGAGAGCCTTTCGGGACAGGAGCAGGAGCCAGCCCTCGCCCTCCCAGCAGCGAGTGCCAGAGTTAAGCAAGACAGGAGTGGTGCTGGTTCAGCCACCCCAGTAGCTCACATGACTGCTCCAGGCAGGGATTGGGCTTCCCTGCTCCACTAACCTTGGATTGTCCCTGGCTGCCACTCTGTGCCTGGTGCCCATGGGTCACCTCTGTGTCACCTTGTCCTTCTGTCTGGGAGCAGGGGAGCAGTGGGTGGAGGTCACGCTGCAGCCGGAGGCTTGGCAGCTTCTCAGAGGGTATTAAGGGGAAATTTATTTCTTGAAGTCTGGCTCTCTGGCTGGGGTGGTTTCTGGGGGATGGAGGAGGAAATGAGTGCAGCTATTTCCAGTCCTTTTCCCCATCATCAGAGTTTGTGGAATCTGCTCTCATCAGGAAGGGCTCTGCTGAGCTGTGGGGATGGGACTCCAGCCCGAGGCATCTCCAGTCCTTGCACTGCCTGGATCTGCGGGCTGGGCTGTGGCTGGTGCTTTATGCAGCCTGGAGGGTGGATTTGGTGCATCTGCTGGGATCCAGGTTGTCTTGGCTCTTTGCCAGGAATGTTCCTGAGGGGTTGGTTTGGGTGGCTTTTCTCCCTGTGCTGCTCTCAGCTTTCTCACTGAGGGCCAGCGTCTCTCAGCAGTGCTGTCCCAGGTTATGTATCCCAAACTTGAGACTGAAGACACCTAAGATGCTGCTGGTTGTGTTCACCAGTGTCTTCTGGCACCTTGGCCAGGACAGTGCCTCTTTTTCCTGGGGTCACTGACCTGCAGTGATGTGTGCATTGCTCTGTATCCAAGTGTCTCAGGGAGAACAGGCTTTTGAGGTGTGCATGAGCTCAGACTGTTTGTGTGTGTTTAGGAGGCTCCATGGAGTTCCACATTGCATCCAGAGAGATGTTTGTGTGTTACAGGAAGCAGTGATCCTTGTCCTCACGTGAGCCTCCATGCTGTGCTGGAAATGGGTGTCTGGAGAGAGGCCCATCTGAGCTTTTAGCTGCACCAGCAGCAGACAAGGAGGTGGCAGCTTGGAGGTAGCTGCCCTTGTTTCAGAGCTCTGTGCTGGGCTGGTGACACTGACTCTGCTCTCTGCCTTTCCATCCCTAATTACAGGGTTATATCAAACCAGGAAGGCAGTCACGAGTGGTTGGACTCAATGGTTCATCTTCCACGGGCAGGAACAAACACCAGAGAGATGCAGTTTGGCCCTGGCAGGAGCAGGAGTTGGCAAGATTCCTTCTGCCCTGCCTGAACGGGGCACGTGCCCCTGCCTGTGCCTCTGCCTATCCTGCCTGCTCCAGAGACCAGCGAGGGGCTTTGAGGGGTGACTGGGACAGGCAGGGGCTGTGTGGGGGGAAGGAGCAGTGGTTGGTGCAGGTTTCATGGGACACAGAGGTGAAGGACGGGCTCTTCTCTTCCCCAGGTGTACAAGGGCTTGGACATCATCACCAACAAGGTTTCTCCTCAGGAGCAGCGTCTGTGCAGGCACCACATGATCAGCTTTGTGGATCCCCTTGTCTCCAACTACACAGTGGTGGATTTCAGGGACAAAGCCGTGGCTCTGATATCCTTTCACACTGCAGCCTGCCTGGCTGAGCAGATATGGGCTTCCCACCTCTATGGCCAGACCTACCACAGGGATCAGTGTTTAGGCTCTCATATCCCAACTAACTCATGTTTTTCCAGAGGATACTGCTGGTGAGAGGGGTTTGGGGCTTCTCTTACCCAGCTAATGCTCAGGGCAGGCCAGGGAAGATCTCTGCTGCTCTGCAAGTGCTGAGCTGGGCATTGCCCTCCCTGGCAGTCCCTGGGTGTCTGAGTTTTTTGTCATGTCTGGCAGAGGTGACAGAGAGATGAGGGACACATTTAACCCTGTCCTGCAGCCTCACTGGCCCCATGGGGCTGGGAGACTGAGCCCTAAGGTGCTGCTCCCCCCAGCCCTCCCTCCCTGCCTTGCATCTGTGCTTAGGCTCCCTGACTGTGGCACATTGAAGATATCTTTGCCCGAGACAAGATCCCGATTGTTGTGGGAGGAACCAACTACTACATCGAGTCCCTGCTCTGGAAGGTCCTTATCAACACCAAGGTACCATGGGGGGCTGTGAATCCCTCTGGGAAGGGGTGAGACCCCCTGAGATTAGCTCAGCTGGTTAGAGCACGGTGCTAAACATACCAAGGCTGTGGGTTCACTCAAGAGTTGAACTCGATGATCCTTATGGGTCCCTTCCAACTTGGAATTATTCGGAGAGCCCCATGTTCAAGGCAGGCTTGGTGCTGCCCCTGCTAGAGTGGGGCGAGGAGAACCCAAAGCCCCTTGTTCACCCTGTGGATCTGGAGGACCTTTCTTTCTTTCTTCCGCTGGCCTCGCACGGGGAGGAGTGGTTTGATTCAGGGCTGCCTTTGTGCCCCACAGGAGAAGACCAGCACTGCCCCTGGGCCGGCCAGCGACAGGAAGGTGGAGCTGGAGCAGCTGGACAGTGCTGAGCTCCATCGCCGCCTGAGCCAGGTGGACCCGGAGATGGCAGCCAAGCTGCACCCCCACGACAAGCGCAAAGTGGCCAGGTGAGCTTGGCATGCCTGGGCCAGGGGGTGCCAGGGCCCAGCACCCCTTCCCCAGGGAATGCTGTGCCCGGGAAAGGGGACTCCTCCTGTGGCAGGGGGTGCCTGGGAAGGCGGCTCTCCCACCCCAGGCCCTGCTCCTGGCCTCACAGCAGGACCTTGGAGCACTGGGGTTGGGGAGCTCTCTCTGGGGTCTGAGACCTCTGGCCACGCAGCCCCCTGCCCTGCCTGAGCTGCCTTTGGGGTCCAGGGCAGCGCCTCACCCCTGGGCTGTGCACACCGGGGCTGCTCCCACTGCCCTGCCCCAGCACAGCCTTTATCTGGAGCTATTTAAAGACAAGCTGCCCTGCTGGCTGAGTAACATAGCTGAGCTCTGTGGGAACAGCACGGCAGCAAGACCAGGCTTGCTGCTTTGGCGGGCCCATCCCAGCCGAGCCCTGGCCCGGGGGGAGCAGAACACCACCCACCCCATTCGCACGGTGCAGGGGACAGAGGGTTGGGCACCCGGCACAGCTTCCTGCACCTCCCTGGCTGGGCTGGGTTGAGCTGGTGGTGAAGCTCTGCAGCATCGGCAGCGCTGGCCCCTTCCCTGCAGCCCTGCCTGGCTGGAAAGGGCAGGGCTGGAGCCAGATCCCCGTCCCCTGCAGGGCTTGTCCCGGTGCCAGGCAGGAGTGGGTGGCTGTGCTCTGGGCTCCTTGGGTGCCAGCGCTGCACCCCCAGGACCTGGGTGTGCACAGATGCTGGGCACAGGAGAGGGGTGAAACCTGCCCTCCCCCCACATGAGAGGGTTGGATCCCAGCAAGTGTCTGCGGTTCCCTTTGCTGGAGCCCCCCCAGGGCTGCTGGGGAAATGGGAAAAGCTCGTTCTCACCGAGCCTCTGAGCTCTGTCTGTCTCTGCTTACAGGAGCCTCCAAGTGTTTGAAGAGACAGGGATCCCCCATAGTGAAATCTTGCACCAGCAGCAGGAGGAGGAAGGTGGGGGCCCTTAGGTGGGCCCCTGAAATACCCACATTCCTGCATCCTGTGGCTCCATGCAGACCAGGCAGGTGAGAGCGGGCTCCTGGCTGGCTGAGTAAGGTGGTGCAGGATTAGGGCTGACTCCCTTCTTCTGTCCCAGCCTCCTCCCTGGAGAAGGCAGCAATTCCTTTGGCACCGGTGGGTGTGACAGAGAGCTCGTTCCCCTTCACCTGCCGGGCTCTGCCTTGCTCGGGTGGAGCGGGAGGTTGGCAGTGCTGAATCACGTCCTGGCACGCTGTCCAGCCCTGGGCCTCCCGAGGGCAGGGCCTGGGGGGCTGAGTGTGCCCTGCTGTCCTGCCCCCAGCTCTGGATGCCCGGCTGGAGAAGCGGGTGGATGACATGCTGGCTGCGGGGCTGCTGGAGGAGCTGCGGGACTTCCACCGCCGCTACAACCACCAGAAGGTGGCTGAGAACTGGTGGGTGAGGAGCCAGCTCCTCTCTGCTCCCGCTCCCCAGCTTCCTGTGGGAAGGGCTGAGGCAAGGAGGTGGCTGTGACTCCCCCCATTTGTCTTGTTCTCCAGGCAGGATTACCAGCATGGCATCTTCCAGTCCATTGGCTTCAAGGAATTCCACGAGTACCTCGTCAGTGAAGGGAATTGCTCACCTGAGACCAGTGCCCTGCTGCTGCAGAAAGGTGGGAGGAGCACCCTGTGTGCCCCACGTCCCTCAGCCCCACACAGCTCCAGGTGGCACCACGAGATGGTCTTGAACCAAGGTCAGACCTTGGGGCAGGTCTCGTTGGGGCTGAGCCGCACCTTTCTCTCTGCATTTCCCACTTCTGCCAGCTCAGGGGAGCAGGGGCTCATTTTCCAGGGCTTGGAGAGCATCTCTGAGCACACCCAGAGCAACCCCTCCCTTCCCCCAGTCCTCCTTGCAGGATGTACAAGGCACAGCGTGACTTGGGGGCTGGGGCTGGTCTGCTTGGGTGATGGGATCCCAGCTGGGCTGTGAATGCTGTGCAGTACAGGGGTAGAAAGGAGGAATGAAGCAGAACTCAAGGAGGGTTCAGCGTGGAAACGGAGACTGAAGAAACCACAGAACTGATAAAAGGCTTGAAAACAAGTCTGGTGCAGAAAGGGCTTGTTGTGTCTGCTCGGGAGACAATTAGGAGGGATATGATAAGCCTGGTATGAAATATTGGATGGTTGTACAGTGGTAAATCATCCTCTGGGCCCACTGTAGGTGGGATGAGCAGTCCTGGGCTCCATTTGTGCAGAGAATTGTTCTATTAGGTATTCTAAGAGCAGTGCAGCCCTGCTAAGAGCATCAGGGTAGAGTATTTGGTCTCCTCCCACCCACTGTTCATTCAGGGGGTGGAATGTCCAGCCCTTCCATGCTGCCACTGCCCCTACACTGTCTGTCAGGGCTTGACCTCTTTGCTGTGATGACCCTTCTCAGTGCTGGCTCAAGCCCCCCAGACTGACAGTGGAATTAATTCTCGTGGTGCCACCCAGCACAAACTTCTGTCTTGTGTGATTTCCCTCCCCAGAGCCAACAGCCTCTTCTCACTGCTCCAAGCTCAGCTTGCAGCATTGCCCTGACCTTTGGGGGTTTTTTTCTCCTTTTTAATCCCTCTATTTCAAAGGGATCCAGGCCCTCAAACAGGTGACCAAGAGATACGCCCGGAGGCAGAACAAATGGGTCCGAAACCGCTTCCTGAAACGTGAGTGCTCTGTTCCCGCCCCACCTCGCCCATCCCTGTTCTTGCATCTCTCCTCACCCCTCCTCTCTGCATCCCCCACTCTGTTGGAGAGGGGACAGTGGTGCTTTGGAGCAGTTTGTGTCCATGTGTGTCCTGACCACAGCCTCTCATCCCAGACACTCAGAAGCTGCCTCCTCCTCACTGTACCCTCTACCCCATCCCCTCCCAACAGCAGTGCCATCAGGATGGAGAAAATCCCAACAGGACACAGTAAACCCTGTGCCAGGCTCTGGTAGATGATGATGATGATGATGATGATGATGGCCATAGCATCCCTGCAGATTATCCCACCAACAGCTCCTGAGAGGCTCAGGGAGGGGGTCCCCACGCACCCACACATGCTCCTGGCTTTGCAGGGAGAAAAGCCCATTTGACAGCTGCCCTCCAGATTAGGAGCAGGAGCCCTGTGGCTGCTCTCAGCCCGGGCTGTGCTCTCTGTGGTGGCAGGGAGCCAGCAGGACTTCCCCGTCCCAGCCCCAGCCTTGGAGCAGGGCCAGCAGCAGCAGCTGGGAGCCGGGCACTTGTTGAAAGGTACTCGGCAGGGGCAAAACAACAATAAAATAAACAATAATAATAATAATCATCATAATAAAAAAAAAGCAGGGAGAAACTCGAGTCAGAAAAAAGACGGACTTTGAACGAGGCACAAGAGCTCACCTTTCTGGTGGCAGCTGTGCTTCAGGTGGGCCCTGTCGGGGGCTTGTTTGTGGGTACAGCAATAAACCCAGCACCTGCTGGGGACTGGCAGGCGGCACCTTTTGATGGCTTTGTCCGGGCAGGGACTACCATGTGCCCACGGGCAGGTGAGCTGTGGAGAGCAGGTGAGCCACGGAGAGCAGCCACGGGGAGCTGGCACCCTCTCATAGCAGCTGTCTCGCCCAGGCTGGGCTGCAGCAAGTGCCCCGTGCCCTGGCATCAGTCCCAGGGTGGCTGTGAACCTGTCCCTTGTCAGCTCGAGGCACTGGTAAAGTATCTCCCACCATTGTCCTGCATCAGCCCCTGCACAATCCAATTGCCTTTCCGTGTCTCCGCAGGTCCAGGGCCCAACGTGCCACCAGTGTATGGCCTGGAGGTGTCCGATGTCCAGCGGTGGGAGGAGGATGTGCTGAAACCTGCTCTGGAGATTGTGGAGAGCTTCATCCAGGTACTGGATAACTGGAGTGAGCCCGTGAGCAGTGACGGTCTCTCCCTTGAGCAGGGCTGGCTGCTTACATGTCCAGCCTTGGGCTTTCCTTGCAGTAGTAGGAGTTTGTTGTCTAAACTGAAAATTTCTCCTAATGCCCAGTGTCCCACTTAATAAAAACTGCAGTGTCTGTCCTGCCCACCTTAGAGTCCACATCTCAAACTCTACTGAAGCGAACACAGAGGGGCAAATTTTCACGCCAGAAACCAATCTGAGACATTCCTTGATCTGCAGGGACGGGAGCCCCCGGCAGAGCCCCTGAAGATGGAGCACGATGCGACCGAGAACAAGCGGAGCCATCGCGTGTGCGAGCTCTGCGACAGGCTCATCATCGGGGACAGGGAGTGGGCAGGTAGGGCTGCAGCAGGGGCACAGGAGGGACCTGGGAGGGGACACAGTGTGGTTATGTGGAGGGGGAGGGATGGAGCAGCTTCCCTGGCTGTGTCTGTGTGGCCGGATGACCCTGGGCACATGATCTCGGGGCTTTCAAGGATTGTTTACAGCCCGTGGATGAAAGCAGCCATTTGCAAGCCCAGAGGGGGTGCAGGAGCTGTGCCACAGCAACCATCTGTCGGGCTTCCCCCCTTCCCCGGGCTTCCCCCCTTCCCCACCACCCAGTAAACACGGGGAGTGTCATGCCAGGGATCTGGATGTAGCATCTGACTGTGTTTAGTCAGGGCTGCTGGTCCTTTACAACACTTTAGATGCTTCCTCAAAAAGCACAGAACAAATTCTGAAATTCAGAACAAATCTCAAAGCACAGAACAAATTCCTTCTAAAATTCTGTTGTGTAAATGAAAGTATCTTAATGTATTAATAGCTCTGTTTTGCTCCATTATATCCTATTTGTGTGAGGTTCTTTTTTTTTTTTTTTTAAAGTATAGTAATAGAAAGGGATTTTCTATTTTCAATAGACTTACTTTAAAAGAGCTCAGCTGGAATCAGATTAAGTCAGTGAATTTATCTGTGCTGGGAGGCTCATGCTGAGAGCCAGAAACAAAAAGTAGTGGAGAACCTGGCTGCAGAAATGAAACTGGTAAATCTCCATGTGTTGCCCAAATGCAGGATGTGCAGGGTCGTGGTTTAACCCCAGCTGCATCCGAGCCTTGCACGGTGGCTGGTTTTGGCTGGGACAGCTGGTCCCAACTGGCCCACTGCCCACCAGTGGGATGGGAGAGAGAACTGCAAGGGTAAAACTGGGGAAAAGTTGTGGGTTGAGTTAAACACGGTTTAATAGAGAAAGCAAAGCAAAACAAGGAATTAATTCACTGCTTCCCATGGTTGGGCAGGTGCTCAGCCATCCCCAGTAAAGCCGGGCTCCATCGTGACTTGGGGAGGCAAACTCCACCATTCCCAATATCCCCCCCCTTCATCCTTCTTCTTCCCCAGTTTTATACACTGAGCATGAGCCCTATGGGCTGGGATATCCCTGGGGTCAGCTGGGATCAGCTGTCCCAGCTGTGTCCCCTCCAAACTCCTTGTGCACCCCCAGCCCCCCCTGTCTGCCGTGGTGGCGTGAGGAGCAGAAAAGGCCTTGACACTGTTCTGGAGCTGCTCAGCAACAACAAAACATCCCTGAGTTATCAACCCTGTGTTCAGCACAAACCCAAACACAGCCCCAGACCGGCCACTGTGAAGGAAACCAACTCTGCCCCAGCCAAAACCAACGCATGCAGACACAATGTAAAGATAAATTTCCTGGGTTGTTGATCCTCAGATTTGAATGAGTCGCTCATTCCTACTGAGCTGGGGAAGTGCTGGAAGCAAAGATGGAAGCTCATTGTAATGAGATCAGTTTGTCAGTGCAGTTGTTTTAGGCAGAATCAGCTTGGAGGTGCTTTTGAAGGATCTCTGCCTGCCCCAGAACTGGAGCATTCTCAGAGCTGTCAGGGTCCCTGTCATCCCTCCAGGTCCTGCAGGTTCTGTGACCGAGTGGGAACTCCTCAAGGTGCCCCCCCAAACACCACAGCTGCAGCTACACATCCCTAGGGCTGTCACCCCAGATTCCAATCGATTGTGACAACACCTCCCTCAAACAAGACCAGCTGTTGTTCTCTGCATCCAGCTGAACTGGGCTCAAATCCCCCAGATGGTGGGAGAAAAGTGGCCCAAAACCTGGGTGTTACTTGTGCCTGCAAAATGGAAAAGGAAGGTGAAAACAGTGGTGGGAACTGAGTGGATCCGCAATCCGGTCTGTTTTCTTGTGTGGAGTTGCAGATAGTTCTGGGAACTGCTCCCAGTGCCCTGCTGGCTCTGAAAGATTTTAAAATTTTATGTAATTATACAATTTGTGTGGACTTAAAGAGCCCAACTCCCCAGACAGCAGCAGCAACCAGCCCTTCTTTAGCCACTGCAGCTTTGGTGTTGCTTGTGACAAATTGCAAGAGGTGAGACTTCATTTCAAGCTGAGGGTGACCCTCCAGCATTGTGATAAAGCAGCAGCTTTGCATGTAATTTCATCCTTTGGCAGAAAAAGGACGACTGGAAAACACCTGAGGGCCTTGATTCAGCGAGCAAATACCCTTGTTTAATTAAGGCCCTGCTTGAAAAGTTTGTGCTTTAATTGCTGCTCTGATCTCTTTGGAAACGGCAGCACGGCCCCGCTAAGGTGGTCAGACAAAGCGCCTTCCCTGAGTTGAAAACACTGATAGAGGAGGTTTTGCTGTCCTTGAGGATGTGAATTCACACAGAAATGCAGCTCCTGCTGCCCCACTGTGTCCATAGGAGCTGAATCCCTGGGATTACCCCTCTGTTTCCCATCTGTCTGCTGCTGCAGTGCACTCCTGGCTGGGGCACTGCCCTGGAGCTGTGCAGAAGTGCAGTTGTGCTCCAGGCTCTGTCCCTGGCTGCTCTGTAGATGCACAGGATATTCCCAGTGCTGTGGTGCAGGCATCCAGCCCTACAAATGATCCTGGCAGAGCTCCATGGGGGGGAGCTGAGAGTTGCACAACCTCACCTGCAACCTGCAAAGTGCCGCCTCTTTGGAAACACTTTCCCTTCTCCCGCCCTCTTGGGAGAGGCTGGGAGAGCTGAGTCATGACATGGACTCTTCTGCATGTACAGAACCAAGATTATTCCCTCTTCCAGTCCTCCCTGTGTTCAGGAGGAGGTTTGGGATCGTTGTCCCCCTCTGAGCCCTGATAGTTTGGCCTAGAAGCGTCCAGAGAAACAGGCAGGGCAGGGCTTGGGAATTCACTTTCCTGCAGGAATGAGCTGTGCGGGAGGGTGGGAAGGGAGGGTGCTCTGCGCTGCACGGGAGGATCGGGTGTTTCCTCCTCCAAATTCCACAGATTAAACGCTCTGTTTGCCTCCAGCTCACACACGATCCAAATCCCACCTGCACCACCTGAAGAAGAGGAGGAAGCTGGAGGCAGCCAGGGGTGCTGCAGGGACTGCTGGTGACAGTGGGGACACAGAGACCTCGGATGAGGATGGCAGCCTGCCTGTGCCATAGACCTTGGAAACCAGCTGGCAAAGAGGATCAGCCGTGCATCCACCTGCATGGCGAGCAAGCACCTGAGTCCCAGGCGGCCTTGAACCAGGGAGCTGAGTCATTCCTTTTGGGATGAGGCGGGTGCGTGACAGGGAAGGCTGCATTGGATCCTCTTCATGTGGCCTCATCCCGCCCTGTTCCCATGCTTCCCCAGCCCTGCCTGGAAAGGGCTGGGCCCCGGGGCAAGGCTGCTGGGAGCGTCCTCCCATGCAAAGTGTGAATTCCTGCCAGAGAGGCAGCGTTATCCTTGGAATGGTTGAGCTGATGCTGCTGGCATGCGGACGTGTGGATCCCAGAGACAGAAATACCCCGACTCCTCCAGCTTGGCCAGGAGGGAGCTGCCTTTATTGTGGAGAGGATAATTTTTTTGTTCTTTTATATGGAAATAAAGTTGCAGGATTATTGTGGGTTCCCCTCCCTGTTAACAGGTGCGGTTTCCTTGCTCTCTGATTCCACCTGGCCTGGGTTCTCCGCTCTGGGCACAGGGCAAGAGATCCAGGTCTGGTTCCTTCTTCCAGTCACCTTTTCCACAGCTTCTGAGGGAGCTGAGCAGATGTTCCCAGCATGGTGGGGGAAGGCTGATCCCTGAGCACACAGCAGGTGCAGAAGGAGCTGGCACCTGTTAAACAGGAACTTGGAAATGATCTCATCGAGTTTGCAACAGATGAGTCTGTCCTAGTTAAGGCTGAATTCCCGGGGGTTTACACTGTGGTTTGGCAGTGGGAACCAGCCCTGCATTTGAATCTGAGCTGCTGAGCAGCAAATTCCTGGTGTTCCAGGCAGTTGGTGTCCCTGCATTGTTCCTGGAGGATGCGAGTGCCGTCTGTGCCGCTGCGCTCCCCGGCGTGCTGCTCTGGTGAAACCAGGACAGCCTTTTCCAGGGCATTTGGGATTCTCCTGGCAAATGCAATCAGGACACTTCCTCCTGGGAGGGCTCTGGGTTGGTAGAGCACAAGCTTTTCCTTCAGCTGCTCGTGCCATGTGGCAAGAGCCACCTCCCAGGGCTCATCCTGCGAGGGGAAGGGCTGCGTGGGTGGATCTGCCGGCGCAGGCTCTGGAGATTCCTGCTTTGGTGGGGATTAGATTAAACCTCCGTTTTGTGCTCCTCAGCACTGAGTTATTTCTGTCACGCTCTGGGGGGTGTCTGCCTTGGGTGGTGCAATGGAGTTTGGGGCGGCTTGGGAGCTCGGATTGAAGGGAGTATGTGGGGAAGAGCTGGGAATTTGGCTTTGGGCAGAGCTGGGCATCAGCTTTGGAATGCTGGGCACTGCATTTGTGTTGCTGGGTCTGTGCAGCGCCAGCTGAGCCTCTTCTCCAGCCTCTTCTCCAGACTTGTTTGCCATCCATGCTGACTCAACCCATGGATATGGGCTCAGCCTAGGGCTGGAGCACATGGCGAGGAGGTTGTGGCATGGAATCGTGTTCTCCCAGCCTGGATGGACGGGACGTGAGCCCCATTCACTGCCAGTGTGCTGAGCGTGGTTTCTGACAGGCAGCACGGAGATGTTGAGTCATCTCCCCAGGCCAGGCCAGGATCAACGGGGCCGCACTGGGAATGAGGGGGGGGGGATTATCTGCTCCGGCTCCTGAGTGCAGTCAGATGTCCATACTGTTAGAAATGGATTAAATATCCTTAATCGGTTTAATATGAACTTTGTTATCCCCACAGATACATGTTATTCCTCTTCCACAATAGCTGTAGTCTGCCTGTTCTCTTCAGGAGCCTGCTCAGGATGGGCTGTGCTGAGCCATGGCCAGACAGGGGCTCCCAGGCCTTCCCAGGAGAACAGGGACTGTCATACTTCCTTGTCCATGCTGTGACTGGAAGAAGCACACCCTGATCCTGCCAGCAGTGAGGAGCAGGTGAATTTGCATCCTTGGAGAGGTGGGGAGCTGTCAATGAGGACACAGGGTTTTGTTCAGGCATAGCCTGAACTCTGCCATGGTTTGCTCACCAGGGAGGGAGCCAGTGTCTGTTGTAGCTCTGCTGTTTGAGGATCTCCAGGCAAGGGTCCCACAGTTCCTGGCACCAGCACTGTCTCCTGCTCTGGGTCCTGCAGAAGGGACAAACAATTTGGAATTGCTCTCAGGTCCCAGCCAGGACTCTCTGAGAAAGTTGTTGTGGTCTCAGGTTTCAGGCTGCTGTCAGTGCCGGGAGGTTTGGGGATGGGAATGGCACTTCACTCCATCTGCCCTCCGCTAATCCCCAGACAAACGCGGCTCTTCCATCTGTGCAGCTGGAGCCGCCGAGCCCATCACACCAGCCACTTAATCTAAATGGCTTTGGCCAAAGATAAGGTCATTAATTACACTGGGATTAGAAAACAGTCCGGGCCCAGCGTGGCTTGGCTCGCCATCAATTAAAGTCCTCAGCGCCCTGGCCTGGCTGAGCATCGAGCTGAGAGTTTTTGAGCTGGAGGAGCGCTGTGTCCTTGCTGACAGGGCACTGCCTGTCCTTGGAGGAGCCTCCTCACCTGGGCACTGGTATTCTGGCACAGCACTGGGCTGGGCTCCTGTCCCTGGTCACTGGCAGGGCTGTGTGCGAGGCAGAGCTGCTGATGCAGGTCCCAGGGGACATCCATGGGATGCTCCGGCAGGAGCACAGGCACCAGGGCAGCCAGTTTGGCACAAATCCTTGTGTCCAGCAGTGAGAGGTACACGGGCAGCACCTCCCCATCTGCATCCCCACCGCTTGCTGCCTCCAGCCTCCACCAGCTCCTGCCAGGCCACCACACTGAGCTTGGCCCTGACTCACCGCCCGCATGGGTGGCCAAGCCCTGATGCCCTCGCTCGTGGCCACTGTGCCCAGAGCTCTGAGAGCTCAGAGTCTGTCTGTGATGGTCCAGTACTTGTACTTCCTTCTGCTCCTCCACCTTTCAGTTCCTTTTTCTTACCATATTTTGGGTATCAAATGCTCCGATCTGCTCATCCTGCAGGAAGTGGCTCATCCATGCGGTGCTGCCCTTTGCTGGGGCGGGATGTGCCACTTGCTCTGCCCTGCCAGACACCACGGTGGGGAGCAGTCAGGGCTGGGGTACGTCACGAGTTTGGCCTCGTCCCTCCCCTCTTGAGGAAGAGGCACCATGAGGGAGGTGAGGGGACACTGTGGGCTCTGTGCCAGGAGCCGACCGGCACCGGGGCACCAGGGCACAGCTGCCACCTCGCCCGGCACCGGTGACCAGCTGGTGTCTGTGCCCCTGTTCACTGGTGGGTTTAAAGCATCCGGCTGTCCCTTAACTCCCGTTGGAGGTCCCGGCTGGTGACGCTGCCCTGGCTCTTCCCACCCCAGTTCCCACACTGCGGGGATGGTCCTGTGCCGCTGCCTCAGACGGGCCAGGGACCATCTGGGGGACGGTGTCACATGGGGCCATCGGCTGCTGCAGACACACGGCAGCTGCAGGCTCCGAACTGAGCCGTGTCCTGGGCTCATCTTCGCTTCCCAGGTGGGCTCATGGTGTCACGGAGCACCAGGGGGGTTTAACGGAGCCCTGGGTGGTGGGTGTGGTGGGAGAGAGCCCTGGGGGTCCATTGGGGCTCAGCAGGGCTCGGTGGCACCGCTGGCACCGCTGCCGTGGGTGCTGGTGGGTGAAGGGAACTAAAGGGGAACTCGAGGCACGGCTGGAGCACGGAGAGCTGGGAGCAGGGCAGGGCGTGGGGGGATCCTGTGGCCCAGCCGGTGCCTCGGCAGCGTTTCGGGTGGCTGTGGTGAAGCCACGGGTGAAGCCATGTCGCAAGAGCCTAAAAATAAACGGAGCTGTTGGCCAGGGCCGTGCGGCAGCGTGTGCCCCATCCCGGGCCGCGCGGGACTTGGGTGGATTTGGCGGCAAAGGCCGGGTGTGCGCGGCTGGATCCTGGCACTGGGCCCAGGAAGTGCCGGTATCCGAAGGGCTGGGGGCTCTGCCCCCTCTCTGTGTCCCATTCTTGTGCTGCTGCCCCGTGCCTGGGGGTGCCTGAGGAGGTTTGGGGACGTGTGGGCTGAGCTGGGCTGTGGGGGCAGGTGGGTGGGATTGGTGTCCTCATCTTGGCACCCAGTGAGGGATTCAGGGAGTTCAGTCCACAGTCCACAGTTCAGGAGGCTGTGGGGACCCTGCCCATGTGCCCTCCAGCACGTGCTGGACGCAGTGGTGGTCACCCCTTGCCCAGGTGGGGAAACTGAGGCACAGGAGTGCTGCCAGTGCTGCGACACCTTGCAGGAGGCCCTGGGGTCATGGTATCACCTGTGGGGTGCCCCTTGTCCCCTGGCAGTGGAGGGGGCTGTGTGGGGCAGCGAGGGGGAGTCAGCAGTGCCAGGATCTGCCCATGTGCCGGGCGGGAAAGGCGGGAAAGGTGGCGGGAAGGAGAGCGCTGGCAGGACACCAAACCCCAGGGGCCTTGGCCCTGTGCCCCAGGAGCATGGCTGTGCTGAGTCCTGGGGTGTCCCCATGGGGGGTGTCACAGCCCATGCCAAGGGCTGACCCGGGGTCCAGCACTGCAGGGGCCCCATCAGGTACTCCCCCAGCTCGGGGGGCTGCGGGTGGGGCTGTGAGGCCGAGTGGGGCCCCCACGGTGTAGCCGGTGTGAGTGGGGCCAGCGTGGCTGTGTTGTCACGGTGTCACAGGGCCATCTGCCGGCAAAGGCACCGGGCCCGTGGCAGCCAGCCATGGCCTCCAGCAGCATCCCAGTCCTCCCAGTCTGCAGCTGCTGGGGCGCTGGGGAAGGAAGGGGCCCTGGGTGGGCTGGCCTGGGGGCAGCAGTGGGGGCAGCCCCACCCTGGGGGGGCACACTGAGGGCCACGCTGGGCTGTTTACCCTCCAGGAGCTCCTGATCACCAGCAGTGTCACAGCAGGGTAGAGACTTGGGAGGTAGGATTTGTCCCACAGGGATGGGTCCCCACAGAATCATGGAGAGGGGACGTGGTCCCTGGGGGGGCTGAGTCAGGGGGTCTCATGGATGGGACTCATGAGGGCTGGACAGGGGGTGCCTCCCAAGATGAGGACACGGCAGAGACAGCCCCACTCCGGCCTCAAACAGATTAAATGTCATTTTATTTCACACCCCAAAAAAAAAAAAATGTAGAAAAGAAGAGGTGAGTGTGGATTTAATTGCTCATATTAAAAATCTACCAGGTGAGACTGAGCCATTTCCTCCAAAGTCAGTGCAGATCCGCAGGGATGTTTATTCCTCCTCCTTCTCCTCTTCCTCCTCCTCCTCTTCCTCCCCTGCCAAATGTTCAGGGACCAGGATGGGGACAGGGGCGACACCTGCCCCCTCCCCAAGGTGTCCCCATGCCATGGGCACTCGCTGCCACCGGCCCCATTGCCACATCCCTGCCTGGGTCCATCCTGCCCGGCCCCGGCACCCCCAGCGCGGTGTCCCCACAGTGCCACCCGCACCGCGTGTCCAGGAGCGGGTGCTAATTTGGGGGGTGGGAAGCGGGGCAGGAGCGCCTGGGGGGGTGGCCTCGGGCCGTTTTGATGTTCTGTTAGTATTCCTGTGTATTCCTCGTTGTCCCTTTTCCCTCTGTACAAGATGAGCAGTATGGTCATGGGCGTCGGTGACACGGTGACGTTGCGGCTGCGGCGGCCGCCCCGCGCTCACTGCAGCAGGGCCCGGATCTGTTTGGACGTGGTGTCATCGTTGAGGTGCCGAGTGGTGTACCTGGACAGAGAGGGGACGGTCACCCTGTGGCCCCCCTGACCCGCCCTGCTGTCACCCCACATCCCCCTCCGTGGCCCCTGGCTCACCTCAGAGCATTCAGCAGCCCCTCCGTGCTGGTTGAGGGTTGGTCTTTCAAGACTTTGATGCAGCCTTTCATCTGGTGGGGGTAGTGAGAAGGGCTGTGAGATCCCCAATGTGCCACAGGGGGGCTGTCCCCCTTCCTCTCCATCCTCCTCCTCGCTGCTTGGGGGGATGAGTTCCCCTCGGGACCAGCCCAGTGACATCCCCATTTGGGTCATCCAGGGAGAGGCACCCCGAGCATCACACCTTGGGATGAGCAGCATGGGTGTGACCCACCCCCAGTGCACCCCATGGCCACTCACATCGATCTTGGAGGTCTTGGCAAAGGCCCCCACGGGGTGGACGTGGTCGTAGAGGATGATGACGCCGACCATCACCCGCATGCAGAACAGGAGGGTCTCGGTGTTGGTGAAGCGGCTCCGGTACTCCCTGTGCCAGGAGAGGGGCCAGCTGAGCCTGGGGGGCTGGCAGAGGGATCCTGGCACTGAGATGTGTCCCCCCAACCCATATGGGGTACTCACGGGGTCTCCAGCATCACCCTGCAGACACAGGCCATGGTGCTCAGGCAGTCGGTCGTGTCCTCGATCGGGAGGGTCTTGTTCTGAAACCCAACGTGTCCTGACTGCTCTTTCCATCCCCAGTCACTCACATGGTGCCAGGGCTGTAGGGGGTCTTTTCCCACTCCTAGGGTCCCCCCAGCCTCTCTCACCTCTGAAACAAACTTGGTGGTGGCATTGCTGAGTGTTTTGAGCATGGGAGTGGCCTCGGCGTAGAAGAGGGACATCCTGTTGGCCATCTCGTTGTTCACCTCACTCTCCGCGTCCAGCTGGGGAGGGGTGTGATGGGGGGCCATTAGGGTGGTTAATCACCCCTGAGTCACCCCCAGCCCTGTGAACCCCTGGGGGAGGCCATCCCTGGTGGGGGCAGGGGGACAGCACCATCCTTTCACCTGCAGGTTGTTGATGCGATTCCGGCTGATGGTCCGTCTGTAGTAGCTGAAGTCGTTCTGGATGGCGGGGTTGGTCATCTGGGTGGAAAACCTGAGTGAGGGGCTACAGCAAACCTGGGGGGTCCCAAAAGGCCCCTGCTGGCTCACAACTTTTGCACGGTCCCAGTGTGGGGACCCCCAGTTCTTGTCCTGCACGGGGAGGTACCTTGAGCTCGTCGAAGCTGAGGGTGAAGTGGAGGATCTCGGCAAACTGCTTGGCCAGGGCTTGCTCCCGCTCCAGGTGCTGGGTCGGGGCGTACGGGGGGCTGGTGAGGGCCTCCAGCAGGCTCCGCAGGGCGTTCTCTGGGGACAAAGCACCTCTGGTCCCCTCCTGCCCCTCTGCATGTCCCCACCCCATCCCCGCCCTCAATGGGAAAACTAAGGCACAGGGCAGCACAGCATCCAGAGCTGAGCACACTCCAGGGCCAGAACTCCCACAGCCTGTCCCATTTCTGCATCCAGGGCGGGATGCAAGGAGGGGATGCAGGGAAGGGGGGGTGGGGGTCAGGCACTCACCCAGCCGCAGGGAGAACTCATAGAAGCGTTTCAGCTTAGCAACGAGGGGGCAGACGGCGCTCCAGGCCCGCTCCTGCAGCCGCAGGTCCCCGGGGTTTTGGATGGCCTGGAGGGGGGAGAGCGCCAGCGGTTGCCCCGAGCTGTGGCGGGCGGGTGGGCAGCGGGCGCTGGGGCTGCACCCACCTCTCGAATCTCCTGCCCAGCGCCCGTGTAGGACTGCAGCTCGGCCAGGATGGTCTGTGCCTCCTCCAGCACGGCATTCACCTGGTTCCACACCGCCGTCTCGGCCTCCGTCGGCTGCGCATCTGCAGGGCAGCGCCCCGGGGAGAGAAACCCGGAGGGCTCTGAGCGGGGCCCTGGGCGGCGAGAGCCAGAGTGGGGTGCCAGCACCCCATCCCACGGCTCTCCCGCCAGTCCACAGCCCTTCCTGGCGGGATTCTCCCCCTGATCCGTCTCCTTGCCCGAGCTCGAGTCAAGCCGTGGAGTGGGGGGCAGGTTGGGGGTGAGTCCTGGCTGCCCTGTGACCGTGGTCCTGCTCATGGGGGTCCCTGAGCAGCCCTCGGCCCCGGGCTGGCCCCAACTGCCCCGGGGAAGAGGTGTGGAGTGACAGCCCCCGGCCATGGGTCTGCCCCCCTCCCCGGGGAACGGCAAAGGTGGGGGGAGGACGTCTGGGATGGGCTCAATGCGATGGGCGACGGGTACAAGAACTCAAAATGGTGTGGATGTGGAACTCAGGATAAGTACGAAACGAAAAAGGAAAATAAAAATCCCATCTCACTTTCAAAGTCAAGGAAAAAATTAGGGCCTTGGTCAAGTTCGTTATAAGTCAACACTTTTAGAAGGTTCCCCATGTGAAACCTGCAAGAGAAGAAACAAGAGGAAAAAAGCATGATGGTGAGGTGGAGCTCGGGGAAGAGGTGCTGGGCTGTGGGCAGAGGCGGTGGCCAGAGCCCCCGTCCTCCCCCCGCTGCTCCCCGGGGGCTCGGGGGGCTCCTGGACAGCTGGGGCGGGGGGTGACCCCTCATCTGCTCCCTGGCCCCGAGTGCAGCCTCTTCCCCCCCGCGATGGTGATGAGCGCTGGCGGATGGGTGATGGAGAGGAAGGAGCGGAGGGAGGAGGGAATGGTGAGCGAGTCCCTGAAGTCTTGGCTACAGGTGTTCCCCTCCTCCAGGTGCAGAGCCAGCCCCGGAATGGGGCGTCCCGGGGAGCCCTCAGAGCCCCAAGCCCATGGGCTGTGGAGGGGACTGGAGGCAGGTGAAGGTTGTGCTGCCTCAAAGGAACCTGGAAGAGCCAGGAAGGCCTCTTGCCATGGGAGTGGGTGGCTGTGTGACCCCAGCCCTGGATATTTTGGAGGTGCCTGTGCCTGAGGTGGTTGTGCACGGCCTCTCCCTGCTGGGGATGGAAATGGGCAGGGGCTTGGGGTGAGTGGCACTGTTTTTACCCTCCTCGCTCTTGCTCTGAGCTGTGCCCTGGAGGAATTGCAGGAGAGGGAGTCAGAGGGGCCCTGGGGCTGTGCCTGGTCTGGCATCCTGCCACAGCGGCCTGGGAGGTCCCAGAGCTGTGCTTTCCTGTCCCAGTCAGTCCCCTGATCCCCATCACTCAGTTCAGGCTGTGACCACTGCACCGACCTTTCCAGCGGTGCAGCTGGATCATTCCCTCCTCCTTACCCAGCCTCCAGGCTGTCCCTGCCGTGATGGTGGCAGGGGACATGCCACATGGCCACCAGTGCCATCAATTACAGCAGCAGGCAGGTGGCAGGTCCCTGAGGTCATCCTGGGCCAGGTCCTGCTGCTGGGATGTATCCCATATCCTTGCCACTCAGCCAGGATGTCTCCCCACGCTTCGAGGGATGGGGCATCTCTCGGGGTCTCGCTCCCCTGCCCCACTCAGCCCTTTGCAGGGTGAGTTTGGGGCTGCCCCAAGGCACCTGGGGACATGGGGCTGCTCGGGGACACGGTGCCTGTCCCCATCTTCCAGAGAGCAGCCACAGCAGTGGACCCGGCCCCCTCCCCGCCCACACCCTGCTCATGGGACTTACTTTCAAAATCCAGGAAAAAATGAGGACAGTTTTCTAAATCTTTGCCCAATACCTTTATCAGGTTGCCCATGGCCAGCAGACCTGAGCGAGAGAAACAGAACAGAGTGGAACAGCACCGGCACCCCTGAGCCCCCACGGTGCCACCCAGCAGGATCTGCACCCCGTGGCCCCCATCACTCTCCCTCCTGGTCGGGCACAGAGGTGTCAGCATCCACCAGAGTGTGGTGGCTCGGCTCTCCCGGCACTTCTGCCAATTCCCAAGGGAAGTGGGATGTGAATCTGGGAGTGCTGCGCTCCCTGGGGCACCCCCAGCCACGCAGCCACCACTGAAACACCCCAGTTCCCCCACTCCGTACCCCATGCTCGCCTGAGGGTTGGGGGGCTGCCCCAGGTGACCCCCATGGGGTTATGCCGTTGCTGATGGGGCTGGGCATAGACAGAGGAAGATCCCAACTGGGAACTCGTGCCCCATAGACTTGGTGTGGGGGTCTGGTGCCTGCGCTGGTGCATCCCACCCACCCCACGGCCGTGATCTTTACCTCAGTGCCCGGAGTGGCAGCGGTGGCTACGGCGGGAGCAGGGGCTGTGCCACCCCCTGAGTCACTGCATGGGCTGGTGGGGACCTGCAGGCAGGAGGGTGAGAGGGTCAGGGCACCCCACTGCCCTGGGGACCCATCGGTGGGTGACCAGGCTGGATCCCACCACCCACCTCACGCTGCCACCAGCCTCATTTACCTCTGTTATTTTTTGTATTGCTGTTGGCAGCTCACCAGGCACCGAGCTGAGTATCCCTGTCCCTCTTCACTCCTTGGGGGACCTGCCAGCAGCCCGGGGACAACCCCAGGGCTGAGCCATCTGTCCCCATCTCTCCTTGGAGAGGCCAAGATCCCCAGGGATGACTTTCCCAGCTCCACTGGTTAGGTTTACTCTTTTCTGCGTGTTGCATGAAGGTCCCTTTATGCCACTGATGAGCCACAACCCAAATCCTGCAGGCACTGGGATGCTCCCCCCGTTCCCTGTCTCCCACCTTTCCTACAGGGATGGGGGGAAGTCGGGATTGGCCCCATGGTGTTAGCGGGCTCTAGGAAGCAGTCACGGGTTCAGCAGATTGTAATTAAGCATCTGGGTTTAATTAATGAGGCAGGGGAAGGGGAGAGGGAGAGCTGGAGCAGCAGTGGAGAGGAGGGTGCCCCTCAGCCCAGTGCTCCCTGCTCACCCCCAGCACAGCCCCTCAGCATCAACAGTGATGGCTCTGCCTTCCTTCTCCTCCTCCTCCTCCAGACCCAGTAACTGATGGCTTTACATCAGAGCTGCACCAGACTGACACTAAAATTCAGCTGCTTTTTGGGGGAACCAGAGCACCCGTGTTCCCCACTGCACACCCCTGCCTCAGTTTCCCCCTCCGTGGTGGGCGCTTGTACCCTGCGAAGGCACAAAGAGCTGCCCTGGTGCCCTGATGCCGAGGTTCATCCTGCTGGGTGCTGGGGAGTTTTGGAGCGGTGCTGAGGGGTCCCCGGGGTGCTGGGGCAGCCAGTGTGGGGGGAGATTGGCACACGCTGTGACGGGCGTGCGGGCGTCCTCCTGCCCGTGCCGCTGTTGTCCTTGAAGGGAGACTTGGGGCTGGGATTTGTCACTGCTGAACTCTGCCTGTGCCCAGGGAGGGGGCACGGATAGATCTCTGTGCTCCCAGGTGTGAGGACACCCCGCCGTGAGGCTGGAGCCGCGGCACTGAGGTTCGGTGCTGGGGGGGAGTTTGGGGATTGCTGCAGCCCCCCTGGGCTGGGGAGGAGGATCCGCTGGGGACTCAGCCCCTGATTTGCACGATTCCCTCGGCCCCAGGTGCCCACATCCCCATGTCACCCTTGGCTCAGGGAGCCTGGGGTACCACAGCACATCCCCCCAGGGGGCTATAGGGGAGGACAAGGGGCTCCCTCCAGTGCAGGCTGCTCGTTGCTGTGAGGCTGAACTGGGGGAACCGTGCACCCCAAATCCCCTGGGAAAGACCCCCTCCAAACTGGGAGCGATCACAGAGGAGTGTGCTGCTGGAGGAGGGCTGGGAGCAGCAGGCTCCCTGTCCTCAGCCACACCCGAGGTGGCCCCGGGTTCTGTCGCTCCCTGCGGTGGCCTCATTGCACCCCAGCCCTGCTCCGGCACCTGCTCCTCTCCCCGAGCGTCCTGCCCCATGGGGACCCCACGGCAGGTGTCACCTCCATGGGGACATCCCAGCCGATGGGGTGAACCCTCCCCCAACCCTGCTCCAGGCAGGGCCAAATCCTGCATCCAGGCGCATCCCTCCCCACCGCCGGCAGCACCCGGGCTGGCCACGCCGGAGGGGCAGCGATGCCCTCGGATCGAGTCCCTCCGTGTCACCGGGGGCCGTTTTTGGGCTGTGCCCCTTCGCCGCCGGCGCAGCATCGCTGTGGGCACCGCAGGCTGGTGCAGCGCCGCAGCCCCGGCCGGGGGCTGGCTGCCCCTTCCCCTTGACCTGGTCTCGCAGCGCCCCGCCCGCCGGGTGCCCACCGGGTGCCCCCTGGGTGCCCCCCACCGCCGCCGAGCCCCTCCTGCCGCTGCCCCCCGCCCATGGCTGTGCCGGCATCGCCGCAGCCGCTGCAGGGTCGGACGCGCGGTGCCTGAAGGATTTTCCGTGGAGGGGGAGACACCTTATCCCGGCAATCAGGGTGCTGATCCTAAATCCTGCCCCAGGATCAACCAGGACACCCCCAAGCCTGCTCAGGGTGGTGCTGGGGCTTCTCAGCGCCGCGACCCCCCGGTTTGGGGACCTCCCTGGGTAGAAGGTGTTGTGAGCCCCCCGTGGGGCTGAGCCCCCCGAGTGGGGCCGGCGGGGTTTGGGGGGCTCCCCTCTGCCTGGCTGCGGCTGCGGATGAGCAGCAGGATTTACCGCAGGGCTGCCGGGAGCCGATCCGCAGCACCCAGCCGGCGCGGGCGAGCACCCACCCGTGCTCCCGCACCCGCCCGGGGCCACCGCGGGGCTGCAGAATCCCCGGCGTGGGGAGCACCCATCCCATCTCCACCCCATCACGCACCCCATCACCCCCAGCCCTGGGGTGCGTGCACCGGGCTAGGGGCGCAAAGGCAAAGAGGGGTCCCCTCGAGGGGCTGCTGGCGGTTTGGGTCCCTGAGCAGGGGGACAGCCAGCTCCTCGCCCTGCTCTCAGGCCTGGTGGCCTGTCCCCGTCCCCCGTGGCGGCCCGTGCTCACCGTGGCCGTGGGAGCCCGAGGCGCGGGCGGGCGGTGGCGGCGGCCGGGAGTCTGCGGATGCTGCCGGATCGCGGGGTGCCGGGGACGAGCCGCCCGCCGTGTGCGTGAGCCGCCCTGCGCCAGCTGCCGAATGCACCACAAAGACCACCATAGCCCCCCGGCCCCCCCTCCACGCCACTGGTGACGGTGACGTCTCAAGTGTGAGGGAGACGGGGATGTTTAACCCTCTGCGTGCCGGCCGGAGAATCTCTGCGGCCTGACTGGGGGAGGGCTCTGGCTCCTGCTGGAGGGGTGGGGAGGGGCTGCTCCCTGGTTTTGGGGGACACGGCGACACAGAGAGGGTGCCTGTGTGTTCCTCCACATCAGAGTCTGCCTGGCTCAGCTCCGAGCAGGGGAGGGAAGTCCCAGATTTTCTTCTGCTCCTGACCCAGCCTGTGGATGGCACTGCTTGCCCCCAGGCCCCTCTCCAGGGAGGGGGACCTCACCTGGTGCCATTCCCACCGGGACAAACCAAACCCATGCCCCGGGACCCCCGTTTGTCCAGGCAGCATCCTCTGTCTCCCCTGAACTGGGGCCAGGGGTGGCTTGGATGGCATGAACCGGCACAGAGCTGTTCCCACAGGGCTCATGTGGGAGGTAGGAAGCAGGTGGGGACCCCCAAAATTGGACTGGTTCTGCTTTTCCACCCTGCACTCCCCTTTTCCCGGGCCAGGGCTGAGCATTACAGTGGGGACATCAAGAGGCATCCCCAGTGTCATGGTCACCCCAGGTCCAGCTTGCCCAGTGGCACACAGAGGTGTCGCCCAGGGACACGGGGTGGGTGACATTTCTGTGGGTGACATTGGGCATTTCTGTGCAGCAAAGCAGGGGTGGGTGCCCACCCTCCAGCGCCCCAAGGCACCTGGCACGAAAGCTCAGCCCTGGGTGCAGTGAGCAGGGAAGGGACCTGAGCTGGGGATGGTGAGGGACCAGGGGAAGGGAGAGGCTGCTGGTGAGGAAACCTGGCTCGAAGGGGAGGGGCAGCAGAAGAAACAAGTGAGAAACCCCGATTTTGGCCCTGGCTGTGTGGCTGCTGCCCAGAGTGTCACTAGAAAACGGGGGCATTTGTGGGGTTGCACTGGCTGTGACCATCATTCACTGGCCTCGAGGGACAGTGTCCATCCCTGTTCACATCCCTGCCCAGCTGACCCCACTCAGAGTGACGGGTCCTGCCCAGCACCGTGTGATGGTGACACTGATGGGAGCAGAGCACTGGGAGGTCACAGATGGGCTGGCTGAGCCACCAGTGCCCCAAGCACGGCTGGTGTCACAGTCGGGTGACCTGGCAGTGCAGCGGGACGAGGACTGTTGGAACTCTGGGTTAAGCAGATCCCATCAGTCTGGGGGTTGCTGATCCGGCTGCAGCAGCCCCAAGCAGCTGCCCCACAGCCCCCCCCATCGGGCACAGCCCCCCGGGCCGTGCTGGTGCAGCCCGTAGCCGCTGGGGGAAGCTGCAGCCCTTTGCATTCCACGGAGTCGCTGGATAAGGATGTTTTTAGGAACCGGCAGGGCCCTGGCAGCTCTGCACCCCGGGGACCTCGAGGCTGGGAGCTGGGAGTGGTGCTGCAGCGGGCAAAGGGCTGTCACAGAGCCAGAGCTGCCTGCAGAGCCAGTGTCCCCCCTCAAACACCCTGTTGTCCACCCTGCAATCCCAGGGCCAGCGTCCCAGTTGAACCTGGGTTCATGTTAGGGTTTGGGGTGCCACAATCTGGGCTGAGCTGGGTGCTGTGATTGGGGCCACTGGTATGTCCAGCCCCGACGTGCCCAGGCAGTTCCCCAGCACCACGACTCACGGTGTCACAGCCCCCAAAATTGGGACACTCTGGTACCACACAGTCATCCTTACCCCCATCCCCAGGGCATCCCTGTCACCTGGCACTCCCCTGCCTCTTGGAACTGTCCCATGTCCCCTAGGCAGCCCTGTCCCATGAGCTGAGCTGGGCTGGTCTCAGCCCTGGCAGCCGTGCTGCTTCAATTAAGCCCTCATTAATTTTTCAGTCCCCCTGCGCTCCCCGAGCGCGGGCGCTTTGCAGAGCTGCTCTAATTGATGTCTTCTCGACTTCAGCATCCGAGAACTGGCAGCAGGTCCGGGGGGGTTCGTCCCCCCGAGCTCCTGGGGAGGCTCACGGAGAGGCTTTGGGGCCGCACAGAGCTGTGTGCCCAGCAGAGTCTGTGGGGGTGACACAAAACCCATGAGGCTGAATCGCCCCATTCCAGGTGGAGTCCAACCCTGGGCACGGGCACAGTGCAGGAATGTCACATCCAGCCATGGGGGTCCAGCCCTCCTGCCCCCAGGGTGGAGAGGTGATGGAGCCCTGCAATCCCACTGCTCATACACAGCTGAAAATATTTGGGTTTTTTGCAACCCAGCCCTGTCTCGTCTCCAGCTGGGACAGTTTCTGCTGCTTCATGCAGACACCTCTGCAGAAATGGTGGGTGCACCTGAGAGCACGTGCCATGGAGAAGGTCTGAGCACGCCCATGGCACCTCACAGCCCTGTGGGGACGGGATGGGGACCAGTCCTGGCTGGCTGGAGACTTCATCCGGGCTCAGTGGCCACCAGCTGCAGAGGGACAGCTGTGGACAGGCCCAGGTGGCACTGGGATCACAGCAGGATGCCAAGGTCACCGGGAGAAGCACTCAGCTATCTCCATGGAAACATTCCACGTTCGGTTCTGAAGATCAGAGTGGTTTTCTTGTCCCTTTCCCCCTCTGTGCTTCAGCTGTGGCTCTGCCGACCAAGAATCCACTCGTGTGTCCCCAGTGCAGGCAGCATGGGGATGTGTGCTGGGTGCCAGCATCCCCTGGCATCCCACTGCCAGCATCCCCCCACATCCCACTGCCAGCATCCCCTCAGCATCCCACTGCCAGCATCCTCCCTGAATCCCAGTCCCAGCATCCCAGTGCCAGCACCCCTCCTGCATCCTGCTCCCAGCATCTCCCAGCATCTCCCAGCATCCCAGGACCGATTCCCCTCCCAGCATCCCGGTACCCCCCAGTATCCCACCTCGACCCCCCACCCCGCGGCCCCTCCCGGCTGATTGACAGCGCCCCCAGCCAATGGACGAACGCTGCCGCCGGGGGGGGGACGGGCGGCCCGCGGCTACAAGAGGGGCGGGAGCGGCGGGGGCTGAGCCCGCGGATGGACCGCGGCCCCTCCGGTACCGGCACTGGCTCCGCGCCCCGCCCGGTCCCGCCGAGCCGCCACCTGCCCGCACTGCACGACAGGTAAGGGCTGTCGGGAGCCGGGGCTGGGTCCCGGTTCCCCGGTGCGGAGCTGCCGTCGGGGCAGGTGCCGGGAGCTGCGCTGCTCCCGGGACTCGGTTCCAGCGGGTGTCGGGGCTGGTGCCCCGGAGCCGCCTCCTCTGCGGGTGAGCAGAGCACGCCCGCGTCCCCATCCATCCCCCGGGGCCGAGAGCTGAGCCCCTTCCCTACTCCAGGGGTGATGCTCTGTGCTGCCCGGGGTGCAGCCCTTGAGGGGGACACCTGTAGTAATCCCCCTCTGTCCTGTTTTGGGACCAGCAGCCACGGATCAGTGATGATGTTGGTGCTTTGGGGTGAGTGGTTTGTGCCAAGCGCGTGGTGGCCCTTCTGGCTGCTGTCCCCTGCCCTGGTGTGACTGGGTACCCCTTGGAAAAGGGAATGGAGGACTGGGAACCAAAGGATGTTGCTCTCGAGTCCTGGCCACTCTGAGGGCTTCTCTTGCAGGGTAAGGTGTGGTGTGAGACGCTGCCTCCTCCTGCCAGTGTGACCGGTGGGAGGTGTGGGAGGACATGGGTATGGATCAGGGAGGGGATGGCCATGGTACCTAATTGGTCTCAGCAGATTAGGACTGGACTGCAGTGCTGGGGGGCACTCGTGCAGCCCCCCAGCAGAGCTGGGATGGCTGGGGCAGCGTTGTGCTCCGTGGGAGTCTGGACATTCCCTCCGCTCCGGCTGCCAAGGGGCGCTGGGTTAGGCGCTGCCGCGGCAGACAGTGACAGATGCTGGTGGGATGATGGGGCAGGAAGAAGCCACTGCCTGTGAGATTAGCTGGGAATGGGGCTGGCTGGGAGCATGAGGACCCCCCTATCACTGCAGGGCTCATCCCAAGGGTCACCCCATGTCCCCCCAAGCCCACACGGTCGGGACATCAGACGCTCCAAAGGAAGACAGTGCTTGGTTGGGCTCCAGGTGAACTTCTACTCAACTTTCTCCACAGAGAGAGAAGCTCCAGGAGCTCTCAGCAAACCATCTGCTGCTCAGGCTGAGCGGTGCTGGCAGCCAAGGCTGCGTGGGAGCGGGCACGGCGTGTATCGGAGCAGCTCCGCGTGCTGCCCACGCAGCCATGGGCTCCCAGCGCTCCATGCTGCTGGCAGACCCGTGGCACAGGCATGGGGGCCTGGCCAGACCCCATCCTCACCAAGGACTGGCCAGGAGCAGGTTGGGCATCACTGTGACCAGCTGGATATTGCGAGTCCCATGGTGCAAGTGAGGATTTTATGTACTTTAATGGCAGACTTTTCATTCTCCCATCCTTGGAGAGGGTCAAGTGAAGTGGAACTATGTGATCTTTGAGGTCCCTTCCAACCCAAACCATTCTAGGATTCTATGATCACGGCCTGCTAAAGGCCATGGGAAGAATTCTGGATCTTCTGTTGCTTTTTGGGTGGTTTTCTGCAGGCAAAAGGTGGCTGAGGACAGGGGGCTGCAGGTGACGCTGCTGGGTGCACTGGGGGGCTGCCCCAGGGCCAGCTCCAGCAGCAAAGACCACAGCCAAACATGCTCCAAGTCGCACAGTCTCTGTCCTGCATGGACACCCACCTGCCAGGTGGGTCAGCTCTAGCGTGGGGAAGAGGCATGTGGGATCAGCCAGCTGCCAGGCTGGAGGAGGGCCTAGGAGGACCATCCCTCTCCGTGCCTGGTGTGTAGGAGTTGTGTTTTCCCTCCCAGGGGCAGCCATGGGCAAGCACAGCAGCAAGCTGGCCCCAGAGGTGCTGGATGACCTGGTGAGGAGCACGGAGTTCAGCGAGCAGGAGCTGAAGCAGTGGTACAAGGGCTTCCTCAAGGACTGTCCCACCGGCATCCTCAACCTGGAGGAGTTCCAGCAGCTCTACATCAAGGTGGGCTCCAGCTGGGAGTCCTAGTGCTGCCCATGGGACTGGAGCACCCGGCTCCTGCTGGGCAAGGGTGCTGCTTCAGGTGCAGCCTCTGTGCTGATGCTCCCCCCCAGCCCTCATTTCCCTCTCTCTTCTCTCCTTCCCGCAGTTTTTCCCCTACGGAGACGCCTCTAAGTTCGCCCAGCACGCTTTCCGCACCTTCGACAAGAACGGGGATGGGACCATCGACTTCAGGGAGTTCATCTGTGCCCTGTCTGTCACCTCCAGGGGCACCTTTGAGCAGAAACTCAACTGGGCCTTTGAGATGTATGACCTGGATGGGGACGGGAAGATCACACGCTTAGAGATGCTGGAGATCATTGAGGTACCAGTGCTTAAAATCCACGGGGGTAGCTTGCTTTTTCCAGGCTTTTCGCAGCTCTTGGGTGCCTTTTCACACCAAAGAATGAGTTTTCCTGCCCAGAGCCTTGTCTGAAAGGTACCCAGTGTGCACCAGATGGTAACTGTGCAGCAGCATAGAACTCAGTGCCAAGAGAGCAGAAATCCTGTGCCCCCTGCCCTTATCCTGGGACATTCTGCCCATCCAACATTCCCACTCTGGTACTTTGCTTCTCTTCTTCCTCCAGGCCATTTACAGGATGGTGGGGACTGTGATCATGATGAGGATGAACCAAGATGGGCTGACACCCCAGCAGCGTGTGGACAAGATCTTCACAAAGATGGACAAGGACAAGGATGACCAGATCTCCCTGGAGGAGTTCAAGGAGGCCGCCAAGAGTGACCCTTCCATCGTCCTCCTCCTGCAGTGTGACATGCAGAAATAGAGCCCTGGGGCTCAGTACTGGACTGGCTGCAGCCAAACTCTGCTCCCTGTGGTGGTTTCAGTGCCCATGTTTTGCTGAGCCCCTCTGTGCCCGCTTGGCCCCAGGCATGAGCCACGCCCCATCCCTCCTGCTGCCCATCCACCTCTGCTCCAGCTGTGTCCTGGACAGCCCACATTCCACACCCTCAAAGGGCAGAGCCTGCTCTGGGTGTTGTCAGCTTGAGGTTATCCCAAATCAACCTTATCCCATCCTGGAGCTGGACTCCCTGCAGCCAGGGACAAAGTTTCCTGGCTCCCCAGGGCTAACTGTTCCCACATCCCTGTTGCTTTCTCCCTGCTTTCTCCTACTGCCACCCTTGGATGCTGCCCATGTGTGATCTCAGCAACCACCTTCCACCCCATCACCTGTGTGAGCTGGCAGAGCAAGTGAGTGACCTCCACAGCTGCCCAGGCAGCACCTCAGCTGGTTTTTTTGGCATTTTTTACCTTCCTGGATATTTAGGTGGTGTCTGGGGTCCCAAACTGAAGGCAGGAGCTGCCTGACTCCTCCATGGGCTGCCCTGGGGCAAGGTCAGGAATTGAGGCTGTCCAAGTGCTGCTCCTGGTGTGTGGTGCTGCTGTAGGGACTGGTGGCTCCTGGATTGGGGCTGTGGAGAGGTGTGGATGGCTCCTGCACCTGCTGAGCCTCCTGGCAAGGCTCTGAGACCACAAGAAACATGCCTGTCCCTCCTTCCTCTCCCATCCCAGCCCGCTGCATCCATCCCCCTGTCCCAGGCCAGGAATACTGTCACGGGTTGGTGTTTAGTCTGCACGTTGTGGTGTTGATGACTGTAATATCTGTTAGGAGATGGTGACGTTGTTATCTATTTTTTTAATGGAAAAATAAACTGCCCCCTGTGTATGGTGTTCCCCCAGTGGCTTGTTGGGGGGCAGCTGCTGCAGCTGTGGGGAGGGTGAGGTGACAACGCTGCACTCCTGAGCATCATTTAGGGGTCTCTGTTGAGCCTGTGACACTCCAAGGGATGGAGAAGCCCTTGGGGACAGCGCAGTGGGGCTCAGCCTTGAAGATGTGTGCAAGTGAAACTCTTCAGTCATGCAGGTAGCTCTGGGGAAGGGAATGTTACTTTTGGGGTGGGTAGGACCAGGCATCCCTGGGCTGTGCTAGAAATGGGTTTTGTTTGTCAGTCAAGACTTTCACTCAGGGCTGGGCATGGCCAGAGGACCTGGTGGCTTTTTCCTGGACTCCATCCCAGCACCTTAGGAAACTGGGACCTGCTATCACAGTATCTTTGTCCTTTACACCACCCTCATTTTCCCTGTGCCTTGTTTCCTGTGGCCTTTCTTATGCATCAGCAGCCTGCACAGATGGTGACTGTTGCTAAGGAGCTCTCACCAAATTTTAATACTTCTCTAATCAATCAGGCAGGGCTGGCTCCTGGGCAGCAGTGCTGACTCCCAGCTCACCCCATCCCACTTGGATGCTGCAAATCACCTGGTCTGTCCTGCAGCAGCCAGCACATGAGCACGGAGATGGGAGGGTTCCAGAGGCAAAGCTGTGTGTGTATTTTTGGGAGTGCTGCCGAGGGGAGAGCTCTGCACCCTGGGTTTGGCTGCTGTGCTTTCCAGGAGCGTGTGTGTGTGTTCACAGCTCAGCAGTGCTGGGGAAGGAGGGACAGGGCTCTGTGGGGGCCTGGGGATGTGCCAGGGCTGCTGCCTGAAAGGGCAGCAACTCAAAAGCTTGAAGAGGGGACTCCAAGAATAGCCTCAGTGATCCTGGAGCTCTCCAAGCTCCCGCTTCCCTTGGGGCCACCACAAAGGAAGTTCAGGTATTTCCCAGGAGGGACCTGAAACAGCCCTGGGGAAAGGAAGTCTTTGAGGCTGAAATGGTATCCAACACCCAAAGGGTTTGGGATCCCTGGAGCCAGCCCTGGTCACCAGCACCCAGCTGGCTCTGCTCTCCTGGTTGAACCTCAGTGTGAGTGAGGTGGTGTTGGATCAGGGTCCCCGAGGCTGTGGTGCACAGGGAGTGTTTTTCTTTAGCTGTAGCACAGGGCTTTGGGTGAAAAAACCTGCTGCTGGCCTCTGTCCTGGGGCTCTGTGACCTTCTTCCAGGTGCTGCCATGGTGCAGATGAGACAAGGTGGGATCCTCCATCACGTGCCCCTTCCTGGCTGATGGGTTTTGGTCTCTGGGGCTTCTGGGGGGGGGGTCTGCTGATTGTGGTGTAGATTTTAGTCTGGGCTGAATGCTGGGCTCTATGTGCTGGTTTGTGTCCAGACTTGATCCAACCAGCACTCCTGGGAGTGGAGAGCCTTAATTAACACCTATGCTCGTTCCATTAACTAGTGCATGGTCCAGGTAACCCTGGCACAGGGCAGAGCACCCCACACCTTTGTCCTACCATGTTGCCACTATCGTGGCTGCTCCAGCTCCCAGCAGTGACCACCCTCGTGCCCTTCTCTCTGCCCTGGCCTCGGTGCCACCCTGTGCTCTCCAAGGATGGCCAAGCCCTTGGCACGAGCAGGAGCTGGCGTCACCCGTGGGTGCCCCATCACATCCTGCTCCGAGTCCTCCTGGGGGCTCTGCTGATGTCACCTTTGTCCCCAGCCCCCTCTCCTCGCTCCCGAGGACTCGCTGCCCCCGGGGGCTGGCTCTGCTTTGGAACGAGGGCTCCCGGCTCGGTTCCCCGCAGCACCCCGGTATTCCCGGGCGCAGGAGAGGCGGCGGCGGCGAGGAGCGCTCGGTCCCGAAGAGGTTAATCCGTGTCCCGGTGGACTGAAACCCCGGAGCTTCATGGGATGCCTTATAAAGCGCGTTCCGCCGGGCCGGCCCCGGTTCCCGGAGCTCCCGGGACTGGCGGAGCCGCCGCCGCGCCGGAGCCGCCGGTGCCCCGGAGCCGCCGCGCTATGGAGCCGCCGGGCCCCGCCGGGGCGCCGGGCCGGCCCTGGGATGAAGCCAAGGCTTTCTACGACAACCTCGCCCCCAAGAAGAAGCCCAAATCGGTGAGACCCCCCGAGGTGCCGAGCCGCGCTGCGCTCCCTGTTCCCCCCACCGCCCCGCCGGGGGACGCAGCCCCTCTGGGTGCACCCCTCCAAACCGCGTGCCCCATCCCCTCCGGGTGCCCCCAGGTCACTCCAGGGGGCCCATCTTCTACAGGTTCTCTGCGGTCCTGCTGAGTGCCTCATCTTCTCTGGGTTCTCCCGTGGAACCCCCCGGGTGTCTCTGGGTGCCCCATCTCCTCCAGGATCTCTGGGGTCCCCCCGGGTGTCTCTGTTTTTTCTTTGACACCCTGTCTCCGTCCAGGTCCTGGGGTGTCTCTAGATGCCCCCACTCCTCCTTGGCATCCCTGGGTTACTCGTGGTTGTCTCTGGGTTCCTGCGGGTCCCTGTGGTGTTCCCGGGTCCCTCCTGGGCTGAGGTGTCCTTGCAGGGTGGCTCCGTGTCCCATGAGCTGCCTTGTCCCCTGCGCCAAGGCGGGAGGCCCTGCCAGGGACAGGAGGGGTGGCAGTGGCGGAGCAGGGGGACAGCCCGGGAGCTGAATCCCTGCCCAGAGCAGTGGGGTGTCACAGGGGTGCAGCTGCCCCTGCCAGGCTCGCCTGCTCTGGGAGATTAGAGGGAAAGCCTGCGTTATCTAACCAGGGCTGAGCCTGCCGGGTTTAAACACGGGAGCGCCTGGAAGTGCTGCCGTACCTCGGGGTAGCTGTGGGAGCTCTGTGTGTGACCTCTCCACGAGGGGAGGCAGCCAAGCTCTCGCTCTGCAGACCCCAACTTGGAGCAACCCCTGTGCTCTCCCCACTGGGGACCTGGCTGCAGGCCCCTGTCGTGGACCCGCTGCCAGCTGGCATTGCTGTGCCCTTCCCAAGGGAAAGGGCCAGCCTGGCTTGGTGGTGGGATGCAGCTAGTTGTCTTTCATGCCATGCTTTGAGCCTGTGTGGATGTCAGCCCAGGCTCCTCCTCTTCCCCTCCTTGCAGCCAGCTCGGTTACCACTGCACCCATCTGTGCTGTACGACTGGGGCAGGGATTGTGCTTTGCCCTCATGGCAAACCAGCGCCAGGGCCGAGATCCAGGCACTCAGACCCTGAAGTCAGGCTGTGCCATCCCCCTGTGCGGGGCTGGGGACGATGCCCAGCCCTGTGCCCCTCTGCTGGGGCAGGTGGGGGGCCCTCGCACACAGCTGGGCTGCCCCTGCCCTTCCTGGCATCTGTCAGCCCTGTGATGGATGGCTGCAGAGCTCTTTTCCACAGTGTAAACAGTGCTCTTGGAAAACTCAAAACCATCCCAGCCATCGGCCTGAACTTTAATCTGATCCCGAGCAGGGGGCTCGGGGTGCACACGGGAAGTGGAGTTGTCAGTCTGTGCCCTTGGAGGTGCCAGGTCCTCTTGGTGGAACAGGAGCAGGAACCTGTGGGAGAGCAGGTGTGAGCTGTGGGGGCTGCTCCCTCCTGGACGTGGGCTGTGAGGTGGCAGGAGGCAGGGGGATTTTGGGGAGCCCATTCCCGGCTGGGAAATGAGTTGGTTAACGGGGCGTTCCCACTTTGCAGGGGTCTCTCCGCTCTTCCCATGCTCCGGCTCCTGTGGCTGCTCCAGCCCCGCTCCTGCCAGCTGGGGAGGTCAGCAAAGAGATTTGTCACTCCTCAGCAATGCTGAAAATGTCCCCCAGCCTCTCTGGTGACGCTGAGTGGGGTTAATGGGAGCTGACCTTCTTTTGGTTCCCTTCTTCTGAGCACCCTGCTCGTCCCCTGCACCCTTGGGGTCCCATCCGGCTCACCATGGTGCCTGATTTTTGGGATGCTGTATCTGGAGTGGGGGTGATGCTTGATCCTGGAGCAAGCTCTTCTTCTTCCAAAGAAAGTGACCAAATTTCACTCCAAAACCCACCACCAAATGCTGAATTGGGTCTTCTGCAGCATCTAGGCAGTGCCCAGAGCTGATAGGATTCCTCCAGGATTTTAGAATCCAGTTGGGTCCAGCAGATTCAGCCCCAGGCAGGGATCAAGGGCTGCAGAACGGGGTCCCCACTGCAGCTCCTGCCAGTGGTGGCCTCTGGGGTGGCAGTGGAGCTGCTGGTGTTGGGTGCCACTGTGGGCACCTGTGGCTCTTGTGGGTGGGAGGGCACAGTCTGGCTGCACATCCCGGGAGCCTGTGGGATTTCCAAATGTCTGCCTCTAATCCTTGGGGGGCTGCTTAGGATTTACATCTGATTAGAAGGGCTATTTAAAGGCTGCCAGCTGTTGGGTCTGCAGAGGGAAATGGGCTGTTTCCAGTCACTCCTGAAATACATCTTTGCCCCCAAACTGGGGGTTTGGGTCTGTGATGGCTCTTGCACTTGATGGATCTGGAGTGTGTTGGAAAGGTCACGCTTCTGAGATGGGGCTTGGACTTTGGGGACCACCTGGAGCTGTGACAAGGGCTGATGTCCCTCTCCAGAGGGCTGGGCTGTTGGGACATGTCCCTGGTTGTCTCTCCTGTTTTCCTGCCCACAGGGATGGACCCAGGGTTAGGGTGGGACCTTCCCCCACACTGCCCTGCTTGTACCTCTCTTAAACACATCATTAATCTCTTGCTCCCCCGGGATGGGGCTGGGTCTGACCTTCCCATGGGAAGGGAGAAGAGCTCACCATGAATCCCCAGGCAGCAAATTCAGTTGGATTCGGCTGAGCAGAGCCTGGGCTTGTGTTGGATGATGAGCTTTAAGTGACCTTGGCTGACCTTGGATGTTGCTCGGAGGGGAAAACAGTTTGTGATTCAGAGTTCCCAAACCCCCAGCGGCTGGGGCACCAGGAGCAGGAGGCTGTGTTGGGATGGGGGCTGTGAGTCTAAATACATCCCAACCAGGAGTGTGAGCAGGACCCCTCCCATGCACGTGCTTCTGCTACAAAAGGAGGGTGTTTGCCTTGAAACC